AATATTTCATAACACTAATTGAAAGCGATCAACTGACCCATCCTGATCTTCCAAACCCTCATCATACTATTCCATTAGTTTACGATAAAAACGCCGAATCCGATAAACCACTAGAAAATTCCGAACAACCATCTGAAATTAACATGAAGTCATTCCCATCAAATCAACTATCGTTAACAACTAAAAATAATAAAATCGGATTAATTCATGAAAAGAAACGCGAATACGATGAACCATTAGCGAATTATGAAAAGACCCTTCCCATTCAGCTAACCGCACTAGCATCAAACCATCCATCATTATCAACTACATATAACAATATTGGATTAGTTTGCTTTCACAAAGGTGAATACGACAAAGCATTAGAGAATTATCAAAACGCGTGTGCCATTCGATTGACCGCATTACCATCAAATCACCTATCATCAGCGACTACATATAATAATATAGGATTAGTTTTCTGTCAGACAGGTGACTACGAAAAAGCATTACAAAATTATGAAAAGGCACGTGCCATTCAGTTGACCGCACTACCATCAAATCACCCATCATTAGCAACTACATATAATGGTATTGAAACAGTTTGCTTTGAGAAGGATGAATACGACGAAGCATTGGAGAATAAGCAAAAGGCACGTGCCATTAAGCTGACCGGATTACCATATAATCAGTCACCATAAGGAACTACATATAGTAATGTTGAATTAGTTTGCTTGGACAAACATGAATACGATAAAGCATTAGAGAATTTTGCAAAGACACTTTTCATTAAGTTGGCCGCATTGCCATACTTGCCATTCAGCTGACCGCACTACCATCAAATCATCCATCATTAGCACCTATATATGATAATATTGGATTAGTTTGCAAAAAGAAAGCTGAATCCATAAAGCATTGGAAAATTGTGAAAAGGCACGTGCCATTCTGCTAACCGCGCATATAAACATATTGTATTGTCGAGAATTATGAGAAGACACTTTCCATTCAGTTGATCGCACTACCATCAAATCATTCATCAATAGGAACTGCATATTGTGATCTAGTCAAGTACGATCTGTCGAGATTTATTTTTCTTGATATTGTTTCTTCCCTTTTTTTCGTCTTTGAAGAGCAGGTATATTGTAGAATAGTGTTTAATCATCTTTTTTTTTATGCGTTTAGTGTTCACTAGAATCTTAGCAGGTCGTTAGGTAGGGAAAGCATAAATGAAAAAAATGTAAAAGAATAATTGCTTCCCATGAGGAAAATGGAATGCATGCAAATAAATGCCTTTGAAGGTATTAATGAATGAAAAACCGTTAAAAAATTTAAATGCCATCACACGCGTTAGAACGCGTTAGGTGAAATGTCTGCAAAACCATTCGTCATTACGTTTCATCCCTTCGCATTCGTTAAATAATAGAATGCATGTAAAGGTACGAAAAAAATTCAATTTTCGGTTTTCACACCCGTTCTACTTTTTTGATGCATGCTAAGGAGGGAACATCTCTAGATGTACCCTCCGAAATTCGATGATCGTTGGGCCATAGAGACTATATATGGTCGTAGTAAAAAGCCTAAAAGGATTTGAGTTGATAGTGCTTTCTTCAAAAGTTATAGGTTTTTAATTTTACTTGTATTAGGCAGAGCAGCAAAATTAAAAGCTCTATAAATTCTTCAAAAAAAACGTGCTAGCGCTTTGAAATCTTTTTCTGTGGTAGCTTCTGATAGCTAGATAGACCACAGAAAGTTTCAGGTTTCTAGCTGTTTTCGCTTGCCGAAACACCTGATTTTCTGAAACCGTAAGGAAATTACCATGTGTATTTGAAGTTCGTGAAACACTTTCATGAGCTGGTACCGTCAGATTAGTTTCTGTATGTGCAGAGCTACAAAATGACTAGCGGACAAAAAGTTCCAAAATGTTAAGCACGTTCTCAGGAAAATGTTTAAAAAGACCGTTTTTTCCGAAAAGTAGACCTGTTTTGTAAACCATGTTTTCCGCATAAAATCATATCAAAACAAGACAACAAAATATGCATTCGACGCGTCTTTTCAAGTTCTATCTGATGAAGGGATTCGCATTGCGATTAGAAAACATTTGATGATAGGAAAAAAAAGCTCTTATAGGCGATTTTCGTCGTTTTTCAAAGTTTGAGTATATGCTGCACCCTTCTACGGGATTTCAGAACGTGGGATGACATATATCTCGCATGTACGCGACGTGGGCAATTAGAAAATCACGTTTTCGCCTTTGGCCAAGTAGCTTCACGGAAAAGTGTTTTTCGAGCGAAAACACCACAGGACTTTCGTCTGTTTCAAAAGTACTTGGCCAAAGGAAAAAACCTGATTTTCTAATTGCCCACGTCCAGTACATGCGAGATATATGTCTTCCCACGTTCTGGAATCCCGTAGAATGGTGCAGCATGTACTCAAACTCCGAAAAACGACGTGGGCAATTAGAAAATCAGGTTTTTGCCTTTGGCCAAATACTTTCGAAACAAATCCTGTGGTGTTTTCGCTGTAAAAATACTTTTCCGTGAAGGTAAGAAAGTATTCTCAGCGATGCTTTGCTCGCATTGAATATACGAATTCTCATTGGACAAAAGTAGAATTAAAACTCGCGGTGCGATCGCTGTACACTCGCGATCTCGCGGCAGGACTCTAAATTCTGCATCGATTCGATTGAATTGCGAGAATGCAAACGAATTCTTTTTCTCTTATTTCAAAATGAGAATTTATATTTCTTATACAAATAGATAATCCACATTCTGTTTATAACATAAATAGCATACTATGTGTCTATAGACACGTGTGTGGGTTACTTCCATTTAGGTCCGCCCACCATTATATGACATTATAGCCGCGAAACTTCCAACACTCCTGTCGTGTAGAGCATAAAAAGCTACATATATTCTCACATTTGTTCGCTAAAAAATTCATATTCTACATGCCCGTTTAGGGATATCAAGTTTTGGCCTCTCTTACAATGAAGCAACTTTGACCTTGTTTTTCTCTACATCCATAGAGTTAACATCGACGTTTAATATACCACACGAAGAAGCAGCTCGAGTAGTACAAGTGCGGATACTCAAGACTTGTCCTAGTACGTTTACAAGGGCAGGCTAGCTGTCACAAAATGGCCGAAAATGCAAAAAGGGCACTTAGTATTTCACCCATGGGGAAATAGCGGACCGTCTATTGCCACGTTTCTTCGTATGTGCTCAACTGACGTGTGAAGTTCAAAAGAGAAAAGAGTTTGAAGCTTTTCAAAGAGAATGATGTTATATATATATATATAACATCATTCTCTTTGAAAAGCTTCAAACTCTTTCACGCCATGCATATAGAGATTTCAAGATTGAACGTTCACTATCACTATAACTATCTCTGATACCTTTCAATAAACGATCATAATCATTTGGATCAAACTCTTTTGGCTCATATTTCTAGAATCAGAAGAAGAAGAAAACAAAACTTGTTCAATAATTCTTTTTTTCTCTCACACTTTTACAAGCACTTACTTTTGATGCTATTTGACAAAATTTTTCTTCTAATTTTCTGATAAGTGTATACGAATTAGAAGATTCATACAGCTTTCGACGTAATAAATCATAGATGTAGAGAAGATAGTGCGTATCTGTACGCGCATATTTTAATAGATTATATGGTAATGGACTATTAAAAAAAAAGTTAAAAAAAGCGATCTTAAAAAGAGACTAAAGATACTCCAGAAAATAGTGTGAGCTTTCCTTTTCTTACCGACGTCGCCAATCAGCTGTTTGATATTCTTTGTTAGCATCAACACCACAATAATGTTTCAAAAGATAAGCTAGTGAATGTGATGGCAAATTTAATTCTCTCGATGCTTGAAATGTATCAAAGATATTAACGACGTAGAGACCAAAATCTTTTTGTAACCATTCAACATCGGAAGCAGCATCGTGAAAGACTTTAACAACTTTTGCATTTTTAAACACATTGTTGAGGGCATGTAACTCGCTTCTCAATCCCAATGGATCAACAATATAATCAGTTGTTCTGGTTGATATTTGCATCAGACACGTATATCCTTTGTAGCTTCTGTATGTATGACGCTAAAAAACCAAGAAAAAACAAACATTTAAATTTTTTATTGGTTAAATGAAAGGAAAAAACCATTGCTTAATTACTTCACTATCGACCGATATTTCTGATTGATTTTCTATATCTCCCATCATTTGTTTTAATCTTGACGATGTATCAACATATTTGTAATCGTTTTCTATATGCGGTTCTGCTTTCTACAAAGGAGAAAAAACAAATTATAAGAAAAATAGCTGAGAAAAAATAAAAACGAGGGGAGAAAAAAACATCGCTCTTAGGACGTACTTGATAGACGACACTTACTTGAATACGTTGACACGGTTGAATTTTTATCAGGTTTTGATTCTTATTTGATGCTGTACGCGACTGTTTACGTTTTTTTTTATTGCGCGTATAATGATTGTAATCATCGTCGCTATCAAAATCAGTATATTCATTCTCTGCTCCGGCAACGATAGCACCTTCCGGTAGTCTCTTTACGGAGGATAAATTCATCTAAAAATAAATCAATTTAGTTCTAAAAATACTAGCCAGCTGCAGGCAATAAGTTTCTACTTCAAAAACTGAATTGTCTAAAAATTACTAGAATTTTGTACAACAGGTATCAGCAACTGATAAAATCAAAGAGAGAAGGCTGTAAAAAAAGGCAGTTGCAAGCTTAAACTCCTTAAGAATAATCCGACTCACAAGAATTTCGCGAGCGCAAATCGTGGCAATTAAAAGAAAGGCAACAGAGAGACAGAAAAGAAGCAGGGGTGTAACCGGTATCAAAAATGCGATACCGGCCGGTATACCGATGATCGGTTTACCGGCTTGTCTGGATGTAGATGACAACTTATCAGTGTCCATTTATTTTTAAAATGAAGTGGTTTAATCTCGATTCGTCCCTAATTGCTCACTCTCACTTTTGATGTCATCTTTGATATTGTTTGATCTTACAAAGCCAATTAGGGACGAATCGAGAGGACACCAATGAGGTTATGATCATGTTTCATACATGTGACGAAGTCTGTTAATATTCAGCGAAAACAACCGATTACTCTTCTTTTGATCAATTACTTATGTTATCAAAGGCATCGATTAATCCTTTCACTTTGATTATGTATAGCTGATTTTTCATACGCTTTTTTTTACGAAAACACCAATCCAATTCAATATTTTAAATTAGGAAGTTTATATAAGCCGACAAAGTTTAAGTAATTGGAATGAAATTTTAGTGGAAGAAATATGTCACAGATGAACTGAATTTAAACGATGTTTTTCGAAAAATCGTATCATACCGCAAAATACCGACAATATCGACCGACTGATCATACTTCATACTAATGCCCGTATACCGGTCGGCGTTATAATTCATACCGGTACCGGTTACACCTCTGAAAAGAAGTCCAACTAAATTTCTCTTTCGCTTAAGTTCTGTTCTTTTTTCTTCCTATGCCATTTTTTTCGAAATGAGGATGTAATTCTTTTGCCTTTTCATTTCTCTGTGGCGACGTCAAAGGTTAGCAGAAGAGTTGTTGTTGTTGTTAAGTACCTTTGCTCAGAAATTAAAGAAACATTAGTACTAGAATAAAGAAGTAATCAAACAAGCGGAGAAGATGATCGAAAGACATGCTAGTGTTACATTTAGTCTTTCGATCGTCTGTAGCTCAGGCGGTTAGTGTGTTTGCTTCTTAATTCTAGGTACCCACGCTCCATCCCGTCACAAGTCAAGTACGTAACTTTAGTTTCTTTCTCTCTCTCCATGTCAAAAATTGTCTTGAAAGAGCTTGGAGACTCTCTAGACGGCTGCAGGTCAAACCTGCATTTAAGAAATTAAATTTTTGTAATTTTAATTTTCTAACGCGTTTTAACGCATCAAGTTTTAACGAGCTGTGTTGCGTTCCTTTTTAACACGCTTTAACGCGTTACATAACAACGCGTTTAGAAGGACGTTTTTTGTCACTTTCCGCACGTTCAAACGCGTTAAAATACAACGCGCTCTAACGCGTTGATTATCGACGCTGTGAAACGCGTTGATTATCGACGCTGTGAAACGCGTTGATTAGTAATGCGTCTGAACGCGCGAAATGTGACAAAAAACGTCCTGCTAAACGCGTTGTTATGTAACGCGTTCTACCACGTCTAAGTCTAACCTATAAAAATGCGTTACATGGTAACGCATTCAGCAGAACATTTTTTATCACATTCCGGACGTTCAAACGCGTTAAAATATAACGAGTTCTAACGCGTTGCTTACTGACGCTGTGAAACGCGTTGATTAGTAACACGTTTGAACGTCCGGAATGTGACAAAAACCATCCTGCTAAACGCGTTAGTTTGTATGAAAATTTAAACCCACTCTAACGCGTTTTTTTCGCAGAAAAAGTTTGCCTGGGTATACTGTATTACGTTGCAAAATTTATATGGTAGAGATGAGTCATCGATCTTATGAGATCTTGTAAGATCTTATGACAAGAATTCATATGATCTTGTAAGATCTTATATAGTCTTGTGACAAAAAAATATATAAAAGTCAACAATGTCTGGTACAAGATTTTGTAA